TTTTTTGTCAGTTCCTTCAGAGCAGCTTGAACTTCCTCCTTCAGCATCATTGCCTCTTGGTAATAGGTTATTTCATTAAATTCTTCAGTGCCAGCCAGCTCTTTTTGGTGCAGAGGCTCTGTGTACTCTTTCCATCTTCTTCTTTTGACTAGGCTGTGATAATTGCATGTTTATAAGTATATCCCATTTTGTGATCTGATATAATTATGTGTGATAAGTTCCAACTTTAATGATTTTAATAAGGCAGGATGCTGTCTAAGATCAGGTTGTATCTTGAGACAATCTCTTTTGAGATATAAAAGAGATGAAAGTGATCAGAGATTGGAAGGACTTACCCGACCTCAGGAGGAAGAGCCAGGAGTGGGGTGTGTCTCTTAGCCACATGTTCCTGTGTGATGAGCCTCTAAGCTCCGTAGAAAAAAGACACTGAGACAGCTTCAAGGAGAGCTGGTCAGAGATGCTGGAGAGAGACAAGGACCTTCCTCCAGGTCCAACAGAGAGGGCTTTCCTTTGAGTTGAGCCAGAACTCAGACTTGCAGCCGGCCTCCTAAATGATGGAAAAATAAATCTCTGTTTGTTAAAGTAACTCAGTCAGGTGTTTCTGTTACAGCAGCACTAGGCATTTGAGATTCCACCCAGCCAAAAGCCAGCCTGCTACCAGTCAGACAGTGTGGGGCCCCTGGGATCTCTAAGCCCTAGTAAGGGTAGGACCCTTCTTAAGTGACCCTCCAAGGAGCAGGGTCATGGATCCAGGGTTGATTCTACAGAGAGGGGGAGGAACAGTCATTCTGGACCTTACCTGGTGTTGGATGCAGGAGCTGGCAGGATAGATGCACCATTGTCCCCACTTAACCAAGTAGGACCCAGAGGGCAGCAAAGGGTGCTTGGTCCATAGCCGGTTGTGAGAGGGGAAGAGGGAGGAAGACCCAGTCTAGGAGTTCTGACTCTCCTTCTCCTTCCCCCGTTATGTTCCAGCAAGCAGGTGCTCCAAGGCCCTCCCTCAGTGGTGGATACTGCTTGGTGGTCATCTGGTAGCCATGGGAGCTGGTGGGAGCAGACTGTTCTTCCCAACTTCTTCTGAGCTTGTGTTCAGCTCCGGGATCTGGGAGCAGGGGCTTGGCCCATGAATGGCTGGGCACACTGGCAAGTCCACCACTTGAACTTTTGTGCACTCTCAGCTGTGATTTCAGCAAAACTCTGCCCACTCCCACCCTGTCACTAGGGATGACCTGCTGTACTGGGGGAACAGCCCCCAGACTTTTCCAGCTCCTACTTCTAGGTCAGGGGCCAATGTTTAGGGGATGGAAAGCGCCGTGGAAATCCCTCAGGGGACTGGCCCCCAGTGCCTCCTGCTTCAGTCTTTTATGGTTGAGAGTGACTGACTTTGAGAAGGTCTATATGCAAGTGACACAACCTTGTTTTATGAAAGTGAGGAAGACTTGAAGGGCTGGCTGCAGAAGATCAAGAACTACAACTTTCGATATGCATTTAATGTCAACAACAAGAAGACAAAAGTTCTCACTACTGGACCAAAAAGCAACATCATGATAGATGGAGAAAAGATTGAGGTTGTCAATTATTTCATCTTGCTTAGATCAATAATAAACACCCTTGTTAACAGCAATCAGGAGACCAGGAGACATATTACACTGGGCAAGTCTGCTGTCAAGAGATCTCCCCAAAATATTGAAGAGTAACGATGTCAGTCTGAAGACTACAGTGCATCTGATTCGGGCTGTGTGGTCTTTTCACTCACCTACTAGTCATCTGAGAGCTGGACAATGAATAACGATGATAGAAGAATTGATGCCCTTGAGTTGTGGTGTTGTAGAAGAATACTGACTATTTCATGGACAGTCAAAAGAACAAACAGATATGTCTTGGAGAGGGTGCAGACAGAGTGCTGCTAGAAGGCAAAGATGGCAAAGCTTCATCTCTCATGCTCTGGGCTTGTTGCTAGGAGAAGCTATTCTTTGGAAAGGGACATCTGCTTGCAAAGTGAAGAGTCAGCAAAGAGAGGAAGACCTTGAATGAAATGAAGAGACACACTGACTGCAGCAATGGGCTCACGGGGGTCGGAGATGGCGCAAGACAGCACAAGTTTCAGGTCTGTATTCAGTAGCTGAATAGTACTCAGTGGAACCTAGCAGTAGTAGCAGTAGTAGTAGCAGCCCCAGCAGCAGCAGCAGCAGCAATAATCATTGAGAAGAATCAATGACATTGAATTGCGATGCTGGAAAAGGGTATTGAATATTCAATGGACTGTCAAGAGAACAAGTCTCTCTTGAAGAAAATATGACCAGAGTGCTCCTTGGAGTCAAACGTGGTGAAACTTGGTCTGACATACTTTGAGGATGTTGTCAGGAGGGACTAGTACTTAAAAAAAAGATATATATTTTTTTTAAAATTTTTTTTTTTTAAGGATTTCATGCTTCGAAAGGTGGAGGGTCAGCATAAGAGAGAGGAGGACTCTTGACAAGATAGCTTGACCCGGCGTGTTGGAGATGGTGAGAACCGTGCAGGAGAGGGCAGCTCAGATCCAAGGCTCATGAGGCCACTGTGCGTTGCACCTAGCAACATTCACTGAGGTGGCAGAAGGGTGGCTTTTGCACCTGATGTCCTGCACGCAGGGGCCTAGGGCACATCCTGGGGTCTCAGAAGAACAGGTCACTGTGCCAGGCACGTGGGACGGCTGTCACCAGCGAGTGGCCGAGACATTGTCCCTGTGAAGGACTAGGACTGGGCGCAAGAACAGAGCTAGCAAAGCGGTGCAGGCCCCTCCACTACTCCTAACCCCTTGGAACTGGGCACTGGCTCTTCCTCCGTCCTTGGCATCGCTCAGTCTTTAGTCAATCAGGTCCCACTTATCTTCCCACAGGCCAGCTCCGGTCCCTGCAGGCTCTGCCCTCAGCTCTGGGGATCTATTTTTATTCTTTAAGTTTGTCTTTTACTGTGTCCTCTTTGATTGGGCGTCTTCCCCAGTCCCTGGCCGCTTTCTCTCCGCTTCCCCCACCGCAAATCCCTCTCTCTGTACCTCCCACCCTCAGCGCTCTGCTCCGCCTCTGCCCCTTCCCTCCCCCGCCGTGCTCCCGCCGCGCTGCCTCGGTGCGCCTGGCTCTCCGCGCCTTTGTGGCTCGTTTCCCCTGCATCCTCCCTCCCGAGTCGTCCGTGGGCCCGCCGCCCGCGCTGCACCCCGCGCCTGCGCCCCGCCCCGCGTACCGCAGTGCCGTACTGCAGGGGCGCAGTGCACTGCGCGGTACTGTCAATAGGTGGACCCCTCCCGGAGAGATAAAACCGCCGCCTCCAGCGTCGCCAGTCCCTCTGGCTGAGACCGCGGATCCGGGTAAGGACGCTGGGCCTCTAGGGCCGCCGCCTGTCCCCTGGCCCCCCGCAAAGGGTCCCCTCCCCGGGGACTGGCCTTACGCAGACAGAAACCGGGCCGGATGACCGTGAGAGGCTGCGCTGCTTGATGTGCGGACATCAGCGGTCTGTCCATCCACCAGGCGCTGCCCTAGGGCTCTGCGCTCAGAACCCCAGGGGGCCGGGCTGGCCTGGGGGGGAAGGGATGAGCGCTTGTTTACTTGGTGGTGGGCGATGACCAGGGCTGCTGTTGGTGGCCCAGTGGCCCCAGCCACTGCCCTGCAGCTGTGACCTTGGGAGCGGCGACCAGACCTTGAGGGGTAGAGGGTGACAGGAATGTGTGGTGGAGGAGAGTCCGGGAATCGTCGTGGCGGGGAAGCCGGGTCCCTGACCATCTGCTCCAACCGCGGGGAGACCAGAAGGTCCACCCAGCTATCTATGCCCTGGGCTCTGGCCATGCCTGCCTGGTCCTGTCCCCAAGTGCTCACCCTCTCCTGCTGACCTCCGATGGTGGTGGGCACAGGAGGAGGCATGCTGTAACCTCGCCCCAATTGGGGGGGGGCAGCAGATCTCCATGCCCCTCCCCCATTGCCTGTGCTGGCTGCAGCTCCATCAGCACCTGCGGCTTTTGGCTGCTGGAGCTCCATTTTCCCCATGACCAGAGAGAGATCCCCTCCCTGCCCTCCTGCCTGGCCCTCGACAGATCCAGAGGAGGGCCCAGTGCTCTGAACCCGGTCTGCCTGCCGCCCTGGTGCCCTCCCGCAGCCTCCCAGAGGGTGGTGGGAAGATGGCGCCATAGCGCTGTCTCTGCTTGAGCAGGGGTGAGGGGAGCACACTGACCAATGGGGGAGGCAGCAGGGACAGCGCTTCTGAGGTTGCTGGGTGATGCTGGGTCACCGCGGACTCACCCAGACCAGCCTTCCCCATCTCCTCCTCCAGGGCTCAGCCTCCTTCATCACAGGTGATGCCTGTGGGCACTGATACCCTGCACTCTTACACTGACCACAGGGGCTCAGCTCTCGCCTGAGGCCCCATTCCCTCTTCTGGCCCCACAGGTGCACCATTCCTCAGCCCCTCTCCCCCAGTCAGAGCACCCCAGCTTGCGCCAGCCCCCCAATACCTCGGGCAGAATGGGAAAGGAGAAGACTCATATCAACATCGTGGTCATTGGCCATGTGGACTCAGGCAAGTCCACCACAACTGGCCACCTCATCTACAAGTGTGGGGGCATCGACAAAAGAACCATTGAGAAGTTTGAGAAGGAGGCAGCTGAGGTGAGTCAGAAGGTGCCCCCAACCCCATCCCCAGCCTCAGGCCTGGCTCAGGCCACTGGGCCCAGATTCAGAGGGTAGAGGCCCAAGGGGACTTGGTCTGGGAGTCTGGGGAGGGGCAGCTGGTGGGCCTGCTGAAGATGTTTGGGTTTGCTCCACCATGGGGATGGGGCTTGGGAGCGCACTCTGTCTCCCTGGGATGGGCATCAGGGTTTAGGGTATTCTCTCAGGAGGCTAGAGCAGTCTGGAGCCACACCCTGTGGCCCCAGGGACAAGCTGGGCTGGAGGTGGGGCTGCCCTTACTTGTCCTGGGCACCAACGTACAGGGCTCTTGGTTGCTATTAATAGCTGGGTGACAGGCAGCCAGCCACCAGCTCTATTTCTTTGGGCAGGACTGGGGTGAGGGTGCCCTGGATAAGATGAGGGGCTGACAGCTGGTCTTCTTACTCTGGGTGTGGCTAAAAGCTGTGGGTAAGAACTGGCAGCACAGGGGTCTCCCTGCTCTCAGGCACCACACAGCCCTAAGGCTGGGTTGAGAACAGTCAGATCTGGAAAAGCTACTGGGGTCCTCACCAGGTGACCAGGGAGCCCGACAAGGTGTCACTAGCTGGGCTGGGCCCCTTCAGGGTGGGGTGTTCCAAGCCGCGTGCCTCTGAGCCTGGCCCAGACAGCTGCGTCACTTCTTGTAGCCTTGTGGAGAAGGCAGAGGGTGTTTAAAGGGCATCTGTTCTTGCCAGCTGACCCCTGAGCTCATCTGGGTCGCTCCTCCAGGCTGGCTGGCCTTCTTGGGGGGCAAAGGATTGTCCACTCAGTGCTGGCGGGGAACAAGGTCTGATTAGGCTGTGGTGAACCTCCATCCCCAGAGCCCTGGACCTGGGAGATGGGGAGTTGCACTCCCCCCCACCCCTAGACTCCAATGTTTTCAGAGGCCAGGCCCAACTTGTGTCTGAATAGACCCTCAGAGCACCCTAAGTGAGTAGGGGAGAGCCTCATAGACATTTGGGGGCCCTGTCAGCTGCAGGAACAGCTGCTCATGCTGGGAACGGCTCCTGTGCTGCCACCTCTCAGTTCTTGTACTTGTTTAATAATGTGTAGTGGTTGTGGGCAACCTGACACTCCTGTGGTGCTTGGGCCCTCATGGAGGAGGTCTCAGCAGCCAGGAGAAGGGGTCTCTAGTCTAGCCGGCAGCTCCTCCCCAGGTGGTCCCAGGCCCTCCTGCCACCTACTGGTGGATGTAGGGAATGGTGAGTCAGCTGGACCTGAGTGGAACATAGATAGTGGACCTGGGCAGAGTGTGCTCTGGAAGCGCAGGATGGGGATGTCCCTGGTGCTCCCTAGCCCAGTTCCTTCATTATGGTACGTGAGAATAGAGTCCTTTCCCACAGAGCCTTCTGCCACATGAGTGACTCCTGAGGCTGGGGCGGTGGGGGGTCGGGGGTGGGCGGATAGGAAAGCCCCTGAGCACCTGCCCTGCTCCCTCCAGATGGGGAAGGGCTCCTTCAAGTATGCCTGGGTGCTGGACAAGCTGAAGGCGGAGCGTGAGCGAGGCATTACCATTGACATCTCCCTCTGGAAGTTTGAGACCACCAAATACTACATCACCATCATCGATGCCCCCGGCCACCGAGACTTCATCAAGAACATGATTACCGGCACGTCTCAGGTGGGCAGGGCTGTGAGCAATCACGGCAGAACCACCTGTGAACTCTGCCATCCTCCGGGGCAGCTATGTGTCCTCACCACCACTCACTGTGTGGTCAGCCACTCCCCTCTTCCAGTTCACCAAGAGCTCGTGGGGTGCCTTGGTGGCCTAGCCAGGCAAAGGTAGATAGAAGGACAAACAGATCTGAACACCCACCAGCTGACACAGAGATATCATAGAGTGGACAGATGTGAACTCACTGGATACACAACCCCCCTCAGAGACCGATGAACACAGAGGCCACAATGTGAGAACACTCACAGACAGATGGACACAGACACCTCACAGACAAACAGATGCAGACACCCCACAGACAGATGCACACAGACACCCTCACACACTGATGGACACAGACAGATAGACACAAACACCTTCACAGATGGACACAGACACCCTCACAGATAGACAGACATAGATACTCTCACAGATAGATGCAGACAGACACAGAAACCTTCGCAGGCAGACACAGACACCCTCACAGACAGATGGATACAGTCATTTTCACAGATAGATGGACACAGACACCTCACAGACAGACAGACACAGAGACCTCACAGATGGACACGTACACTTTTCCAGACAGACAGACAGACACATACACCCTCACAGTCAAGTGGACACAAAGACTTCAGTGGGCAGATGGACACAGAGAGTCTGTAGATAGATGCCCTCACAGGCAGGTAGGCAGACAGGTACATACTGAGAAAAATACACACGATCCAGACGGCAGGATGAGGGTGGGTAGCAGGCTCCTGTATCTGTCCTTGGCATGTTGGGATCTCCAAAATGCTCTTTGGTCCTGTGACGTCCCTGGGATGGCAGGGAACAGGACTGAAAGGCTGAGTCCAGCATGGCAGGGCTGGATGGAGCTAGGCTACAGAACCACGGCTGGGAGACGCGCCTCACCTGCCCAGGCATGGATGGAGGGGCAGCGAGGCAGTGAGGGCTCACTGCCCACTGCTTCCTATCGCAGGCCGACTGTGCAGTGCTGATTGTGGCTGCAGGCGTGGGCGAGTTCGAGGCGGGCATCTCTAAGAATGGGCAGACCCGGGAGCACGCTCTGCTGGCCTACACACTGGGCGTGAAGCAGCTCATTGTGGGCATCAATAAGATGGACTCCACAGAGCCGCCCTACAGTGAGAAGCGCTACGATGAGATTGTCAAGGAGGTCAGCGCCTACATCAAGAAGATTGGCTACAACCCGGCCACTGTGCCTTTTGTCCCCATCTCCGGCTGGCACGGTGACAACATGCTGGAGCCCTCACCCAATGTGAGTACCCACCCTGGAGAGCGGGGACAGCAGAGATGGGGGGGTCCCTGCTGTCCCTGGCTCCTGGCCCAGCCTGTACAAGGCAGACACCAGCTGCACAGGGTCTGAGCTCCAGGCACTACGGTGGGATGTGTCTCTTCTGCTTCAATTTGTCTCCCCACAGGGAGTTGGGCAGGGCCTCTGCTGGCTCCTCAGGCCGGCCGCGCCCTAGCTTGATGCTTCATGGATAGCCCTTTCTCCAGGGCAGACACCCCCCCCATCCCCATCTGCTGTCACAGCCTCCCACTCAGGCCAGTGGATGGCACTGTGGGGTCTGCTTTCCTGGGGTCTGGAGAGAGCCTGGACCCAGGTCAGTGAATGCAGGAGGTCATTGCCTAGCAGTCCAGCCCCACTTTCCTACTTGGCAGAAGTGAGGTGTCCGGACGAGTCTGCTGTGTTAAGCCCCTACCCACCTCGCTGCCTCCCTGGCCTGGGAGGGCAATCACTCAGCCTGGTCAGTGCCATTAGGGAGCTGGGTGTGGGCCTCATGTGGGAGCCTGGGCACTAGACATGGGTCCTGCTGTTTCAGGAACAAAGCTGAGGCCAGAGGAGTGGGGATGGGCGTCCCTGCTCTGAAGGACCAAGTGTTGTTTATCTGAGGACTGATTTCCTCCTGGGACATGACAGGCATACCGCCTCCACCCTCTCCTGGTCTTCCAGGAGCCTGGGCCCCACAGGACCTTCCCACATGCTCGGTGGTGCTCCTTGCCCCCTGACACTCACCTGCCTGCCTGGGGATTTCCTGGGTCTCAGTTAGGCTGAGGCAACCGGGCCGACCTCTCATCCCTGGGGGCAGCCTTGGACTTGCTGCCCAACCTCCTTTCTTCCATCTAGAGTGGGTGGGCTTTGGTGCAGAAGCATGCCTGGGTCTGCTGAATGGGACCCCTGTGCAGTGATGGCTCAGTTAGCTTTGGAGATACAGCGCAGTGGTCAGTCCTGAGCTTTGAGCATCAGAGGCTGTGTTCTGTGTGCACCTGGCTGTGGTCACCTCTGGGACTTCTGCTCTGTTGTTGAAACACCTAGGGGAGGCTGGAGGCCACAAAGAGGAGGGCTGAGGGGGTTATCAGTCAGGAACTCAGCCCCCCTCCCATGGAGTTCCAGTGTCAGGGGTCATCCCTGCTGTGGATGTGAGATAGGGATGAGGGGCTGGGCACCAGAGAGCAGATGACAGGAGGCACCAGAGAGCCAATGTGGCATTTAGGTGGCAGAGGGGGAGACTGTGGCCCCTCCCTTATCCTGACCCCTCTCAGGTCAGACACCTCCTCCAATCCCTGGAGATGCAGGGCTGAGGGCTGGGAGAGTTTGTGGCCACTCGCAGCCTGTGGAGTTAGGGGAAGCTGAGGGCTTGTCTTTGTTCTCTAGAGCTGCCATAACACAAACTCCACAAATGGGTGGGTTTTGCAAGCAGATTTCCCTGCTCTTTAGGGGCTAGAAGTCTGGGTCACTGGAGACTGCCCTGGGGAGACTTTCTATTCATTGGTTCTGGAGAAAAGTCCTTGCCCCTGTTGAGCATCTGGTCAGGGCAGCATTCCCATCCCCCAGGCTCTTTCCCTCTCTGCTCCCGACAATTGCTTGTTTAATCTCTTTCATCTCAAAAGAGGCTAATTTAAAACACATCTTTCACCAATCCTGTCTTGTCAACATAACAAAACTAACTCCCAAATAGAATTATACCCATGAGCATAGAGCTAGGTTTTTAATACAGCATCTAGCTGTCTGTGTTTTTAAGGGGCACAGTTCAACCTATGATATTTTGTCCTTTGCCCTCTAAAATTGTATGTTCTTGCCACAGACACAGACATTGACCCAATCACATCATCCCAAAAATCTTTAAATCAACTCCAAATACAAAATATCTTTTTTCAGAGTGATTTAAACAAAATATAGTTTAGGCTTTATACCTATTCCATCCGGGGTCAAAATTCCTTTTTTATCTGTGAACAATCTGAAATCTGAAAAAGAAGTTGTCGGTATTCAAAGTAGAATAGCGGAATAGGAATAGGTAGGCATTTCCATCACAGGTGGGAGACTGGATGGAAGGGGGAGAATGGGTAACAGGGACCTAGCAAGTTCAAACTCAGCAGAGTGATTACATGAGCTTGCAGGAATCGAAACATCCTTATCTGAGGGCAATGACTTGGCACTGAGCTGAGTGTTGGCCATGCCCTTTGGAATCTGGGTGGTGTTCCCTTGGCCCCGAGGTTCAGCTCCTCCTCCCAGGCCCACTGGGGCAGCAACTTTGCTCTCTCCCTTTTCGGTGCATTATTGCCTAGCTCATCTGAGGGGTGACCTCACTCCCTTGGCCCTAGCAGTCCATGATCGTCTGCCTTGGGCAAAGTGGGCCATCCTTTCAGTTCCAGGGAGCAGCCCCATCTCCCTGACACATCTTCAGAATGGGGTAGGTGAAGATCTGACTCTGATATCCAGAAGGCTGTGATCCCACCGTCTGAGGGTCATGAGACCATGGCCCTGACCTCTGAAACGGAGCAGGATGTGCTTCCTTCTGTTACCTGCTTCTGGAAAAACCCAACTTGGAGACAAAGCTGGAGTGGGGAAAGCAGCAGCTTTACTTACCTGCCTGCAGAGAGGGGCAGGGGGTACGGGTTCCCCAGGCCTACCCCCCCATCTTGGAGGCGTGGGGTTTATATTAGGTAGGGCAGGACAGTGAGTGTGACAAGTTTCACAGCATGTTCTTTTGACCCTAGAGATTGTCCCAGGCTAACTGGCTCAGAACTTCTTAAAGTTGGTGGTAGTTTGCCTCTACATGCTAAAACCGAGTCATTCTCAGCTGTAGGTTGCACAGTAGACAACAAACAACATCAGAAGGTGGTAGTTTTGATCAGGACGCTTGCTGATTTCTTCTGCTAAGCTAAGGAGAAACCCTCTTCCCTTTAGAATGGTAGGTAGAAAGAACATTAGTATTTAGTTTGGGGTATTGTGAGAGGTTGTTGTTGTGTACCATCAAGTCGAAACTGACCCATCGCTGAGCCTCTAGTGGGCTTTTGGAGGCAGTAAAGCACATGGGAGGAGTCTGCCCACACTGTCCATCAACTGGTGGATTTGAAGTGCATACTTTTGCATCGGGAGCTCAATTCCTTACCCATAAGCCACTAATATCCCTTGCTTGAGAAGTTAGTCTTTTATTATTTTATCTATTAGTTGCAAAAGACAATCTTTACTGTTCAAAGTAGTTGACTGCCGTTGAGTTAAGCCGGACTCATAGCAACTCTATGAACAAAAGGCCTGAACCCTTTCTAAAATTATTGTAGTTTTTCTAAGTTCATAGAGTTTCCAGAGGCATGTTGTTTAGGAAGTGGGTGCCACTCCTGCTTCTAAGCCTGTCTTAATCTGGGAGCTCCACCAAACACTATCCAATATGGATAACCATCATGGCATTTGACACATCAATGGCCCTGGGGTCAGCATCACAGCAACCGCAGGTTACCTCAATACAACCACTTCACCAGTTTGCCTTTGAAGTATTAATTTTTAATTATCAAAGGGTACTTAGGAAAGTCCCTGCAGTCCTACTACTAAGGTGTTACCAGGCTAGTTTTCTCTGTCTTGACTGACAGTGGCTCTTGTACTCCTGGAGGCCTGCTCATCTTTGAGCTGGCCCAGCGACAGCAGTGTTCTTCCCTTGGAGGACAAGAGCTGTAGCTCCTTGGGTCTGTTTCCTGCTGTGGGATTCTCTGTCTCTTCTTCCCTGACTCTTCCAGTCCAAGCTTCTCGCTCAGTCACAGGTTTAACAAAGAAGTGGAGAACCATGTCCTTTGTGAACATTTGAAGACACTTTACCCGAGTTTGCATAACAGAATTTTTTTAGTCTTTAAGTTCTGTTTTGATTTTGCACAATTCCTTTTTAAGTTCATCTTTTTCTGCTCACATTTTGCTATAAGCAGCAAGGAGAAGTCACATGGTCCCTTTAAACTCTTGCTTAGAAATCTCAGGCAGATATCCAAGTTTATCACTTACAGATTCTCTCTTCTACCAAATACCTGAACATGATTCAAACAAGGTCTTTCCCACAACAATAAAGAGCATCCTCCTTCTCCCATCATCCTGTCACATGCTCTTTTTGTTTCGGTCTCACCAGTGCACACGTAACACCCTCATTTCCAGCAGCAGTCCGCTGCAGGCATCCTGTGCATCCTTGGAGGTGTGGAGACCTCTGGGCTGCATGCAGCTCCTCACTCTCTTGTGAACCCTCACCAACTGTGGCTTTGATGCCCACCATTCTACCAAGTCTCATTACCGTGATCTAGGCTTCTGCCATTCACTCACACTCACTTCTGCAGCCGACTGGCTTTCTGAGGTTCTAAATCGTAATGGGAGGAGACTTTCCCTCGGAGCTGCAGGCAGATCCAAACCCTGAATTGTCAGAGAAGCCCAGACTCCTGGTTAGTAACACTACAGACCACACCCCTGAGTTCCTGGCGACTGCTGGGTGCTTCCACGCTGACCACCATGCAGAGTGACCCTCTGAGCAGCAGATCTGAACTCAGTTGTAGTCTCACCAGCCTTGCAGCAGCCTCTTCAGTTGTAGTCTCACCAGCCTTGCAGCAGCCTCTTCAGTTGTAGTCTCACCAGCCTTGCAGCCTCTTCCACACTTACGTCTACTGTGGAAGTCATGTGTCAATACACTTCATTGAGGATCTTCCTCTCTTTTTGATGGCCTCCGCTTTTCCAAGGACTAGTCCCCCCTGACATGTCCAAAGTATGTGAGACAAAGTTTCACTGTTCTTGTCTCTAAGGGGCACCTTAGTTGTACTTCCCCAAGACAGTCACACTCCTCTCCAACAACACAACTCAGAGGCACTGATTCTTCGTCAGTCATCCTTATACATTGTCCAACTTCCAGATTCAATAGGAAGCAGCTGAAGAGACACACCATGGCTTTGTCAGACACACCTTAGCCTTCAAGTTGACATCTCTGGTCTTTATGCTCACTATTAAGTATCTTAACTCTTCCAGCCTCCATCTAGCACACAATTTTAACCCATATCCACATTTTTGATACCTGTTAGAGCACCACACCATTCTCAGTAGCCAGTTCTGTTTTAGTTACCTGGGAACACTCTAATGCAAATACTGTGTGTGCCTTAACCAACAAAAGCTGTTTTCTTACCGTTTTAGGCTAGAAGTCCGAATGCTGGTGTGAGGGGACTTCCCATCCCTGTTGGCTTTGAGGGAAGGTCCTTATCTTTTTCTAGGTGGTTGTCATGTGACTCAGTGTCTCTTTGCCTGTCTGTGCTGTTTTTACTTGTTTAATATTTTCATATCTCAGAAGAGATTCTCTTAAAGTATATCCTGCACCAAACAAATAAAAGCCAGTTACAAACAGGATTATAAACTCAGGCATAAATGTTAGGATTAACAACACATGCCAGAGGACACAACTGGGTAATAGACTCTGGCACTGGGCTCTGTCCTCCTGCCAGATGCCATGGTTCAAGGGCTGGAAAGTGGAACGCAAAGAAGGCAATGCCAGTGGGGTCTCCCTGCTCGAAGCTCTGGACACCATCTTGCCCCCTACTCGCCCTACCGACAAACCCCTGCGTCTCCCACTGCAGGACGTGTACAAGATTGGCGGTGAGTCAGAGGACGAGTGTCCTGGCCTCCCCAGGTTCTGACCATTGCCTTATCCCCCAGCCCTGCCCCATCCCGTCACCACTGCCCCACCCTAGTTACCTCTGTCCCTCAGCCTCCTCTCCTCAGATGAGAGCCCTGGTCAAGGTGCTCCCTTCTCTCCTGTCCATCAGTTTAGATTTCATCAGGGTTGCCTTCTCTCCAAGCCTATGCTTGGAGCTGGAGCCAGGGAATGCTAATTCCTGCCCCTCTGCTGGGGCTCCCAGTCCTTGGTGAGAAATGCTCATGACAGGAGAGAAGACAGAAGCTGTAAATCAGTATTGGACCTGCAGGGCAGATCCCAGTGGGTCTCATGTAGGACAAGGTGTCACCTTTGCTCCAGCACAAAGAACAGGGAGACAGACCCCTGACAGGGAGCAAGATCCCCATCAGACACTTGAGATGTTCCCCTGGCTCTCCAGGGAAACAAGACACCACCTTCAGATCTGTGATGGGAAGGTGACACCTCTCAGCCTACTGACAGAAAGCAGACCCTCTCCTCAGACCGACACCCTCATATCACTGAAGGAGACAGAGCTTCTTCCCTAGGCCTCTGAAGGGAGACAGACCCTTTGCCAAAGCCCTGATGGAGAGACCCTCCCTCAGACCCCCGAGGAGTCCTGGACATGTAGACATTGTTTCATGGTGTCTGTGACATTGGAATTTTGAGGCACTGGGCCCCAAGTTGGAAGGTCATCTGTGTTTCAGAGTAGGTCAGGTCTTGCTCTTGCCACGCTGCCTGGGCCACAGGCAGGTCTTCTGTGAGGTGTCCCATGCGCTCCCTTCCCAGGTGGCCACTGGTGGGTTCAGTCACTCTTCTCCTGGCTCTGACTTGTCCTTGAGCTCTTCACTCACCAGCCGCGCAGGGCCTGGCTCTGCTTCTGTCTGAGCCTCTCCAAGGTTGACCAGGTCTCCCCTCCCTCCACATGCTGGGGCCCCTCACACTTGCTCTGGCCTAGGCATTGGCACGGTGCCTGTGGGCCGTGTGGAGACTGGCATCCTGCGCCCTGGTATGGTGGTGACCTTCGCACCTGTCAACATCACTACGGAGGTGAAATCGGTGGAGATGCACCACGAGGCCCTGAGTGAGGCTTTGCCTGGTGACAACGTCGGCTTCAATGTGAAGAACGTGTCTGTCAAGGACATCCGCAGGGGCAACGTGTGTGGAGACAGCAAGTCTGATCCCCCACAGGAGGCTGCACAGTTCACCTCACAGGTTGGTGGCCCGAGAGGGACAGTTGCTCTAATTAGCAGAAGGGGGCTGTGGAGGGAGGGCCTTCCAGGGCTGCCGAACCCTCTGTCCATTGTATTTGGTCTTGGGAATAGTCAGACCCTCACATCACAGCAAGCACTCAGGTAAGGGCACACGGTTCCCTCATCACAGACAAGGTCAGCATGTGGTCCCCACATCAAATGTGAGGACACTGAAGGGCTCTCTGAAGACATAAGGGACCCCACCCTGGAAGAAAGCATGGAGCAGGCCAGTCCCAGGCATGGCCATGCTGACCCACGTGCAATCCTGGTTCTAACAAGTGAGGCCTGCAGCCTTTGTTACAACAGAGTGCTGTCACTGAGCCTTGTCTGTGATCGTCTGCACCACTCTGTTCTCTGTCTCTAACTGTACTCTTCATCGGACAGTGACAGGGCTGTATTGAGATATAATTGAATACAATGGTTCAGGCCCAATACTACCTGCCCCTGCCTTCCTTCTGGCCTGGCTCACCATGTGCACACGTTCCTGTCCTTGCCAGCAGGTGTCAGTGAGGGCAGTCTAGGTGACTCTTCTCCTGGGGCCAGGGGTGCTTCCCTGAGTGGTTTCCTGCCCACCTTGGGATTCTCTTGACCTTGCATGTGACTCTGCCCTCAGGTCATCATCCTGAACCACCCAGGACAGATCAGTGCTGGCTACTCACCAGTCATCGACTGCCACACGGCCCACATTGCCTGCAAGTTTGCGGAGCTGAAGGAGAAGATTGACCGGCGCTCTGGGAAGAAGCTGGAGGATAACCCCAAGTCCCTGAAGTCGGGTGATGCGGCCATTGTGGAGATGGTCCCTGGGAAGCCCATGTGTGTGGAGAGCTTCTCCCAGTACCCGCCTCTCGGTGAGTGACCCAGGGTGGACATGTGGCCTGGGGCAGGGCCCGAGATTGTGCAGTTCTGGGCTGTTTAGAGCTTAGCAAGAGACCCTCAGGCTCCACCCCATCAACTGCAAGGGGGAAGGCATCCCATTTTGTAAGCTGTCCCTTAAGCAAGCCAACCAAGGCACACCATAGGTCAAACAGCAGAATTAGAATTGACCACTGGGTCCAGCTGGCCCACTCAGAATGGCGAGCTTAGAGAGCTATACTGCAGACCTGCCTGGAGCTGACCTGTGGGCTGGGCTGCACTGTCATAACAGCTCCCAGGAGGCACTGCCGGTCAGGTGCTTCCTAATGGCTATCTGTGTGCCATTTGGTCCTCTAGTAAGAACCTGGGGTGAGTTCTAGGCCCTTGTCACTTCCGACAACTAGGAAATTCTATGTGCCCTCGCTCTCCACCTGAAAACTGAGGTTCAGAGGTGGGCCAGCCAGGATTAAGGGTGGCAGTGGAGCTGCCACAAGGGCCAGCGGGCTAGACGATGCTAGCCGCGCGTAGTGCACCTGCGCGCTGCATCTCCACGGGGCTGCCTGGGGCGGGGCAGCGCCTGAGTGGTCCCCAGAGTAGGGAGAGGCTGTGCGCGAAATGCGCCTGCGCGCTGCATCCCCGAAGAGGCGAGGGGGCTGTGGCGGGGCGCGGCCTCACACTGACCTCCCCGCAGGCCGCTTTGCCGTGCGTGACATGCGGCAGACGGTGGCAGTGGGCGTAATCAAGAACGTGGAGAAGAAGAGCGGTGGGGCCGGCAAGGTCACCAAGTCGGCGCAGAAGGCGCAGAAGGCCGGCAAGTGAAGCGCGTGCGCCCGCGGCGCGGCCCCCCGAGGCGGCGCCGCGCCCCGCCGCCGCCCTTACCCTCGGCGCGGCCCAGGCCCCCCAACCCCCCGCCCGGCGCATGTCTGCACCTCCGCTTGTAAGAGGCTCTACGTCAGCGACTGGATGCTCGCCATCAAGGTCCAGTGGAAATTCTTCAAGAGGAAAAGCGTCCCCCGCAGCCCCGAGGCTTCCGCGTCCAGCGCTCGTTGCGCTCAGTGTCCGTTTTACCAATAAACTGAGCAGCCCCAGAGCCGAGTGCGCCTGCGTGTCGGGATGAGGGTGCAGGGGCCGGTCAAGAGCGGGAGGCTAGTGACTCTCCACCATCCCTTCTGGTCGCTCACAGGTGGGCAGCCTCGGGCTTGGAGAGCGCCCAGCCCTCCAGACCACACAGGGCCAGAGTCTGCTGGGGGGTGGGTGGTGTTTAGACTTCAAGTCACTTTGGAACGAAGGTGGTCCCAGAATGCAGCATGGTGCAGCAGGTCTGCTGCAGACTGGGTCGTTGTTGTGTGCCATCAGCTGGGATCTTCTCACAGCTGAACTTAGCTCTGAAGGAATTTTGTTGTTGTTGTTGTTGTTATTATGTGCCATCGAGTCACTTGCGACTCATAGCGAACCTATGTACAAGAGCCCTAAACGCCGTTCTATCCTGTGCCAACCTCGCTGTCTCAAACACACTCATTACCACCATTCCACTCACAGAATCGACCGAGGGTCTTCTTCTCTCCTGCGCCGTCCCTCCACTCTCCCAAACATGATGTCCCTCTCCTAGGACCAGTCCCTCCTTGCAACATGCCCAAAGTATGTTAGACGAAGCTTCAGAATCCTTGACTCCAAGGAGCATTCTGGCTTCACTCTCTCCAGGACAAAACTGTTCTCCTAGCAGCCCATGGTATATTCGACACTCTTCTCCAGCACCACAGCTCAAAGGCATCAATTCTCTTTCCATCATCCCTATTCACTGTCCAACTCTCACGTAATTGCAAAGGCTATAGCCTGGATCAGGCGCACTTTAGTCTCCAGCTTGATGTCGTTGCCCTTCTGTACTCTTGAGAGGTCCCTCACAGCTGACTTTCCCAATGCAATTCGTCTCCTGATTTCCTGGCTGCTGTTACCAAGAGTGTTGACTGTGGAACCAAGTAAACCAAAACTGTTAACTGTCTCAATCTCCTCACCATCCATACTGATGCTGCCAATTGGCCCAGTGGTGAGAATCTTTGTTTTCGTCAAATTTTTTAAATTTTATTTATGTGTGTGTGTGTGTGTGTGTGTGTGTGTGTGTGTGTGTGTGTGTACTGTCAATTCGGATCTGACTGGTACAAGAGGAGAT